TTTGAGTTACACTAGATATTTTTACTCCTAGGAATATCGTGTTATACAGAAACACTGAAGCTGTACGAGACGTGTCAAATGATTTGACGATACGGACACATCGGTTAAACCTTCGTCAATCAACATGTGTTGCAGCAGGCAACTCCCACACCTCATTTCTTAACGAAGCTTTGTAACACCAACATTTATAGAAAATAATTTTTCTCAACATCCTTTGATTTTAGAATAATCTGATACTTTTGATCTGACTCATCTACTGTGGCGTGACTAAAGTTTGTGCGTTGAGGCTAAAGGACTACGGGTTTTGTCTGAAGCATTGTGGGTTTTGGCTAAAAGATTACGAGTGGAGGCTAAAGAATTGCGGATTTTGGCTAAAGCTTGATGGAAAAAGGTGTAGAAAACGGTCAGTAAACAATCCCAGATGAAGAGAAAGTGGAGGATATTTATCGGGACCGGATCGCGATATAATGCATTAGTGTGCACATGTTTTTTTATTATGCACTATTATGTGATGAACAATCATATGTGTATGTAAACCCCGTATTCACGAGGACCCGTTGCTCATTTACGGTACCTAGCAGCCAAAAGCCTGGGACTGGGATTAGTGAACCATGTATAGCGGCTTCATAGGATAAGCGTGTAATATCGAGCGGATGACAGCAAAGCTGCTTGCCATCAAAGTTTTATGGCAGTAATGGGGATTCGAATCTCAAAACATAACCTAAAGCGGACAAGTGATGCCCACTCGAAGTGCTTTTGTTTACACGACTGCAGAACAATACTATTGTATTTCCGAAGACTATTACCAGTTAGTGCTCATCAAGTCTCTAAGAGTCAACATTCAGGTATTCAGCTACCTTAATCGGTTCTTTTCGTCTAAAGACTGCAGAACATAATACATATCCACCAAAGCGATTTACAGCTTTCAGATGGCGATAGAATTTTGATGCATACCTTGGTCTGTCTGGTCCGCGTTGAGCAGGCGTGGTTATTATTACTTCAGTGTGAATGAAACAGAATCGACTAACCACTTTAAGGGGTCTGCTTCGGACAAAAACGTATCAGATTGCAGCACATCCTGGTTCACTATGCATTTAAAATAAACATCCTACTGATTTCTAACACTGTTGCTTTCATTACCTTCTGACAGGACCTCTATTTCGCCGATGGCAACTTGATTTTTGCGATGCCACTCAATGGTGATCCGGGTGTGCCTCGACCGATCCGTCTGGTGGTCGGTCGACCAGATTCCGCCGTATGGATTGCACCCCCCTGCGATCATGGTTTGCCGGGTTTGCAAATGACCTTGAAAGGGCCTAGTCATATGGTATACAATGCACTGGAAGATGCTATCTATTTTGTGGACAATAAACAGGTAGCTATCTACATTGATCTCACTCTACCGTTCAATTCATTCCTTTTCGAATTAATTATTCTCTATACATTCCTTTGTGATTAATTTTGCCCACAAAGGCCGACCCGTATACAGCTGTTTTTCTATGCATCTGTTATTCCCATATATTCGTGCTTTCCAGAGAACTCCTCAGTATTGCTTGTCTTTTTTGTATCTGCCGAGACTCCAACCATGATCCTTTGGATACGGAGACATAAACCTCACCCCTGAACTATACGGCTAACACCGTCTTGATCGAACAATTGTATTTATTCCGGATGTAGTTGTCGGATTTGCTCATTCTATCTCACGGGCACCAAGCTCTGTAAATAGTTTTGTGTTTTTGTTATGGTAATCGTCGTTGCTTTTCTGGGTTTCACCTTATTTATTCATCAAGCTGTGGAATACGAGATCATGTTGATTTCGGGGCAAATGCAAATTGACAGTGGGAAATAGAGGAATTCCAGAGGAGCGAAACCCAGTCATACACATTAGCAATAGAAAAACAAAACTATATAAATAACTGGGACATCAAATGAGCCTATACGAACCTGGGCACTCCATATTCCAATACTGTTTCCAATTACGGACGAAATCCAGCAATTCAGCGCTCAACACGTCCCTTCGGACTAAAATGAACTAGAATCTTCCCGTTTGAAAGCTTGCTTGTTACCAGGAGTTCAATTTTTTTCTATTTCGCCTTTCCGAATTTCCTCCCAGTTGCGGACAAAGTCGCGGATAAACCAAATTTCGAGAACAGAATTTGCGCTCTTGGAGAGTGAAAACTTTGAATAGTTAGGACTCGGCACCAAAACCGTCTGTGAGCCCAGGGTGCAATATCATTATTATTGATATTAACATTAAGAAGGTGTATATTATTAACTAACGAAGGAGTAAAATTACTTGGGTGTAAAACGGTCAACCATCTATTCTGTCCTATTGCATTTTTTGCTGTTTGTATTTAGTTGGCCCTTTGGATTTAATTACACCAAAAGATTAAATTGTCATGAAACACGAAAGGCTATGTAGTGAGTTATTATTCGCATGTCATATGAGTTGTATTTTGTTACGCTCACATTGAAACAGAAGTTGAATTTAAGAACCTAGATTTAGGCATACATTTGATCATAAATAACATAACCATAACAATCTGTTCCTCGGCCCTTTACGGTTTTCTTTGTCTTTTGTTTAATTTAAAACTAAACCGCTGAATTTTTCAATATTTCTCTTTGCAAAAAGCATCCAATCGCTTCAATGTGTCACGATCTTTGATGTTTTCCCTCAGGTCTATCGCCTGCACTTGGCCAGTCAAATGGTTTCATTGGCTGCTGGCAAATCTGAAACTTGCGGATCAGAATCTCCTACTACGAGTCACGTGCATCTGGCCACAGCAATGGCATTTTCGACCATTCGCGGTCTGGCCGTCTCACCGGAAGGGGATTTGTACGTGGCCGAATCGCAACGTGTGTGGATTCGTCGAGCACATGGTAGACTGCATGCGGTCGCGGGAAAACCACAGCAAAAGCAAACCGAATCCGACGACGAATTCGCATCAACCGCCTTCTCGAACGAATTTGAGAATGCAGTCGATTTTGGTTTAGCTAGCGATATGCAGTTCTCAAACATCACCGCAATTGCTGTTACAATCTATGGTGAATTGTTCGTAGCCGACTCGGGTCATGCCACAGTATGTAATTTTTGTGAATTTTGTGTTTGACTACTCCTTTTTATTCCAAGTAGTTGCAAATTAAATGGCGATAAATGTATTTGGCATCTGGTCTGTCACCTTTAGGTTTATCGAGTGCATTATGAACTACCGCGACCATCGTCAACCACCTCCACCTATCGTGTTGTTTCACCTGGAACGGACGAGGCGTACACCTTTAATCAGAATGGCCAGCTTCTACAAACAGAAAATGCTATCACTCAGATGACGTTGCACTTGGTCGACTATCGTGCGAACGCCATCTACGGTTGGGTTTCAGATATCCGTGGTAACAATGTCAATTTGCGTTTCGGCGTGCATCGTGACACTCAGGGAAGATTACGATATGTTCAATCACCTACAGGTAAGTTTTCCCCACCGTTTGCATGCACTCATTGATCACACATCATATTTCTTTCATCAACCCCAGCCACGAATATTCAGAACTGTGTAGTCATATATCGCAAACTGTTTCTTTTGATCGAATGCCGGTTAGTTATTCAGCACAAATCACTAGTTTCTATTCCAACTGGTGCTATTTAACATCATAGTAGTTTGAACTTATTTAAAGCACATTCGGTTAACTATGACATCCTTCAAAAAAGTGACTGTATAGATAACAAAGAAACCCGGGATTATAAAACTTAAAAATGCTGCATAGTTCTGGCATCTTGGTTGCTCGTCGACATGGTAAAGAACCAGGATCTAAAGATTCAAAGATTCAAAGATTTATTATGGGAATAACTTACAAGCTCATGCTTTTCTGGTCCCATAGGTTCGTGCGGTGGAGTAAGAAACAGCGATTCATACAATTCTTTGTG